AGGCGCACCTTCCCTGGGGCCTGAGAGGGGCCCAGTGGGGGGGCTGAACTGGTCCCTTCTCAGGAAAATGGAGGCAAAGAAATCATTAATTAGGTTAGCTTTGTCATCTGGTGTGATAACCAAATTTCCCAGCATGTCTTCCAGGGTCCCCACATTACCCGGTACCTTCTTTTTGCCCCCTATGTATTTAAAAAAGGACTTCTTGTTGTCCTTGATCTGGGTAGCTAGTCCTGGTTCCATCTCCGCCTTCGCCTTCCTGACTGCCCCCCCTGCATCCCCAAGCAACTGCAGTATAGTCCTCCCTGGTGATGGTCCCTCCCTTCCACTGGGTGTACACCTCCCTCTTAGCTAGGAGACATTCCTGGATGCTTTTGGTGAGCCACGGGGGCTTTTGCGCCCTCCTGCTCCCTTTGATCCATGTTGGGATTACTTCCCTTTGGTCTTGGAGGATCATCTCCTTAAGAAGCGATTACTCTTCTTGGACACCTGGCAATATTGAGCAACTACTGCTGATAACTATATCTGGTGTATGCATGGATGAAATGGTTGTTTTGTGGATGTGTATGCCTTTGCGTAATGATGTGTATGATGATTGGTATGTTTGTATGAACAGTGTGCCCGAACTTCTATGTCTAACTCATGTGATCAATAAATGTGGCACCTTGCTTTATTCCCCTTTATAATGTCTTGCTTATGATTTAAGCAAATAGGTTAATTCGATAACAGACCCCCCCATACACCCTGCCAGCCGGGGCTGCTCTGACCTGACTCAACGTGCTATGGTCCTGGGCACACATGTAAACGTGGTGCCCCAGAACAGTAAACTCTGGTGCGAACAACACTGGAGCTTATTCAGTTGAATTAATAGCATGTGTAGATGCACCCACTGGTTAGAAGAGAGAGAATGTAGTTCTGAGCAAGAAGTGGCAGAGCCAGTGAAGATTTACTCTAAACGTCTGTCTTGTCCATGCTTCCCAGAACCCATGACAAGTCTGTGGCTATGTCTATACTAAGTAGAATCTGCTACAAGACGTTTTGTTTCCAGACTTCAGCTAGCACTACTAAACCACTAGAATTATGTGTGCACCCCTATGATTTTGGTAGCTCAAGTATAAGAACTGGACCACCAGAATAAAGTGCTGGCCCTGTGCACTTTTAGAAGGTACCAGCTGCTGAACTGACCGTTACAGCTAGAGGAGAGTGTGGGAGTATCTCCATAAACACTGAACCAGCTGCCAGATGGCAGTAGAAGCTTTACTACACTCCACAGACATGAAGTAATTTTGCTGGCATAATGGAGGATCTGTCAGTATAGAGAGGCTTGGAGTGCACATACACTCAAAGCTGTGATGGCAGAACTGGAGTTTGGTCAAAACACTTCATGCTGTACACTAGGTCTTTGTTACTTACAACAGTCTACTCTGTGATGAATTTAACCTGGAAAGCAACAAACACTAATCTCTGCCAGAGCCATCACTGAATGTAAGGGTGGCAGGTCACTGTAGAAAATATCAGGCATTTTGCCAACAGTGCATTACTTCAGTGGTCTGCTGTGCGATCCAAGGTTACCAAAGTACCCTAAAGCAGTCAGCCATTTCTCAGATGACATATAGTTAGGGATTAATTAATTCCATAAGGACTTTTTAACAAATGTACAGGGATTTAAAATAAACAATTCTCATTGACAACATCCTTCCATCATTGGCCCCCTTGCCATGCATAAAATCCTTTTAAGATTTTAGTTTGTTACCAATTTTTACATATATGTCCCCTCCCCAATGCCTGTTCCTCATGTTTTGCTCTGTCCCTGTAGCTATGTGGTTTATAATATTTTGCATGGATGCAGAGCTTCTTCTCTTCCAACTTCTGTACAAATGTTAACTAATTACCCTGTAATGTGTCTTGTTTTAAAACTACCAAAATGGAGTCAAATATATTTAGAGTAAGTGAAGGTATTTTCTTTAGGCTGAGGAAGCATCTGCAGTTGGTGTGTGTACACTTCCTAGATGGAATGAATAGTAAAGAAGCCAGAGGCTGGTGTGTAGGCAAGACAGCCAGTTAGTGAAGATGTAAATAGAGGAGTCAGTGGGTGAGAGACAGGTTTGGTGGAGGAAGGGGAATGAATGTAGCTGGTAAACGGTGGAGAGGTACCTGGGGAGTCAGATGTTAGGCAGGCTATAATGTGTTATAAATCCAATGTCTATACTTAGTCCGCTCTTAGATATTCTGAAATTTTATTAATTGTCTTCAATGGAAGTGGTTAGGTTCTGAAAATCTTTTGAAAAATCTGGCCCATCATTGTTGCAGCTGATAATAACCATAATGGCCAATGACTGAGGCAGGATTGATCGAAATCATTGGGTGATTTATCACATAGTCTCAGACCAGAAAGTGAAAATTAAATTATTTCTGGCTACTAGAAATCATTATTATTAATAATTAATAATATCTCACTTTCTTGTTTTCGTTTGTGTTCATTATGCACTAAGGTAATTATATATAGGAAGGCACAGCTCCTTGAAAGATTGAAATAAAAAACTAACCAATTCTTACTTTTGTTTCCAGTGTTGAAATGTTAAACAACCACTGTTGGTGGGGCATGTTCTGCACCTGCTGTCTGTGAGATTTATTTTGCTCTAGTAATCATAGGAAACATTATGCAACCACTGGCTAGAGGCAACTGACTGGCTACAGTCTAGCAAAATCTCTGTAAAAAGGATAGTGTTTCTGCCTGAGAAAAGAGACCGTTTAAACCATTTAACACTCTATTGAGCCAGACAATAAAATAAAGCTGTGTATATTGATATAACTACTGCACTGCTGCAGAAGTGTGCGCTAAGTATATGGAACCCAAACAGCACTATTTACTTCCTGGAAGATTCTGTATAGCAGGTAAAATAGCCCCTTATTCAAAATAGCCATGCTTTATTGGATGTAGAAATCACTGGATTATAGCACTGATTATATAATTTTTAAAGATCGTTCACAAACGACACTTCATCACACTTCCTTATTTGTAATCATCTTTAAAACAACTTGTCTACAGATTATGGCATATCTGCCTTCTTTTCTAATGGCATTCCTAGATAATTACACAGTTATATGTGGAAGTATAACAGTCCAGAAACTGAACTATTAATTAAAGGAAATTGCTAAGGTAGATGAATCCTTTAAATGGCTGATTGTGCTTCATCCTTATGACACATTCTCATGCTGCTTGAGCTATAACATTTCATTAAACCGATCCCAGGGCACTTCATAGCATATACAAATGTGAAGTAAAAAACATTCTTTTCCAAGGTCAAGGTCTTTTCCCCCAATGACTGATCATTAGTATGTTCTATGGGGGATGAAATGTCAGATTTATTTTGTACTGGCATTGTTAAGGTAGAGATGAGAAAACTATCTTAGTGGTTTGGAAAACATACTTCCTTTGGCCCTTATGACTGAATTGCAGGTTTGTTTATAGGCTGCTTAAGAGTACTGTTACACATTACCCTTTAGCCATGCTAAAACTGTGAAATGTTATGAGTTATTAAAGTTACAGCATACTCTGAGAAGTCACACATTAAGGCTTAATACCATCCTTGCCACTAGAAGGCTGGAGAGTTCAATCCCTGCTCTGGATCGGGGTGGATGGGAGAGGGCTGGGCGGCAGGAATTGTGTATGGCTCAATGAACACTCAGTGGCCTACTGAAATTTTAATCAGATCATGTGAAATCCCATCCATCTACCCTGTCCCACTACTTACCAGTGGTTAATTGCACTTTTCGCATGTCACCTGGCCATATTTCCCCAAAGCACTGCAGACTCTCCCTTGGCCAGTTGGCTTCATGGGGGCCATAGTCTGCTGCTGGAGGCCCCTGCATTCCCCTTGAGACAGGGACACCAAGACACAGGAAACCATGGTGGGGGATGATGAGGGCTGGCTGGGATAGGGAAACTAAGACATGGTTAACTGTGGTGGGGGGAAAGTGATGGTTGGTTGGATGAGAAAACTAAGGTATGGGAATTGTAGTGGAGGAAGCCAAGGGCTGGCTGAGACACAGAGAACCACATTGGGGGATGGTGACCGCTGTCTGGCATGGGGAAGACAAAGTATGAGGGACTGCAGTTGGAGAGGCCAAGGCAGTCTGGTTTGTCTGGGAAGGGAAAACAGGCAGGAAGCAGCAGGTCCCCATGGTAGCCAGTGCTTCTATAAGGCTGCGGCCATTGCCTTTCATCAGGGAGGTAGATAGCTAGAGGTGTCTGCTGCCTTGCTGTACTCAATGGCAGTAGCCACCCTGGCCAGGAAGGACTTCCATAAGTCCACCAAGGATATCAACTGACAGTCTTGTGCCACAGCAGTCAGCTGAAATATTTTCACCAGCTCCTCTGACCATTCCTGCCTGCACCGATAGGCAGAAAACCAGCTCTTGGTAAAGTGTGATGATCTGACATCCACGGCAAAATCCTGTTTGTCGTGGTTCCACTGACCTTTTCAGCTAAGGGCCATCTTCCGTGCTGGAGCGCCCCCGCCCTGTTCTGAAGCCTCCCAAGCTCTCTCATGCTGGGGCAATTTCTAGGGACTGAAACAAGCGGACATGGCCATGAGTTTGTTTTCAAGGCATAAAGCATATGTGGATCCTGTGTTCATTCTCACACAAATATTGACAAGGTGCACAGACAGTAGTGTACTGACAGCAGACCTTGAACTTGTAGCCAACTTTTAAGATAGTATGAGGGGAAAGTCAGCTTTCCTCACTCTGCTTGGGCATGTTCACAGGATAACAAGACTGTCGTGGAACATCATCATGAGAAATGTTCTCTTGGCTACCTGCTCACAGTTACTTGCTTTCCCAACCTATTTCCTTCCCAGTAGAAGAATCATCCCTGTCCTATTCCTGTCTTAGGATACTGCTTCACTGCCCCATATTTCTTTGGCAAGTGTCCAGCCAGCACAGAATGCACCTCTGTGAACTGGCAAGAAGCAATCCACAAGATATACTCTGCTACTTTTGTAAGGTATTTTGCTAAAAGAATGGAAGAGAGATGTTTGTTATGGTAGCTCTCCACTAAAGCTGGCAATCCCATGGAATATGTGTGATGCCATAGTAAACTTTCTGAACATGCATTGCAGCTTCCTAGCTCTGGCAGATGATCTCGTAGTGAAAGCAGCACTTGATAATGTCCTGAAGTAGAAGCTTCCTTCCCTTCCTCATGGAGCAGCCATCCTGCTTTCCCCAAGTTTTCCTTTGTGGAATAATGAATGTCCCAAGTGACCCTGCATAGTGTGGAATCCTGAAGAGCAACAAAGTTCATTGACATATGAACAAGCTATGCCTCACATCTTCACAGTGAAGGAGGTGGCTACTGGTCTGAAAAACGATACCCCAAAAGATGACAGTATTCCCTGCTGCTAGAACCCTCCTTGGACTGTCATGGGACATGCAGAGAATGCCTTTTGGGGGTGGGAATGCAGGACCTCAAATGCCCATGACCAAAACCATTTTCTTGTGCATTTCTATATGTTAATGTCCCCAAAAGGTGTTCCAGGGGACTCCTGGTGTCTGGGATCCAGCTGAAGAGGCTGGGATCAGGTTAGGGTGGAGCTCTGGATGAAAGCTATGAAAGGTAAAGCACACCCCAGGGAAAGGGCTAGTATTGGGCAGGGCAAGTTGGTGGATCTACCTGTCACAGCGCCAGCCAGGGCCACTTGGGCTAGGGTCAAGACTCTGCACAGCTCAGCCTTCTCCCAGCCTCCTCCCCAGCCCAGAAGGGGAATTCATGACGCTCCAGGGAAAGAAAACTATGGCCCACATAGCCATAGTGGCTGCCTGGCCAAGGGAGAGCCAGAGATGCTTTGGGGAAAAGCGTACAGGCAGCGTGGGGAAATTTGAATTAAATGCTAATAATTGCACATAATTTGAACCATGGCTTTTGCCCAGTTTCGGTGAAAGGTAGAGTATACCCTGGGAAGGGCCTGAACCTGGACAAGAGGGCTGGGATCCAACCGGGGAGGGTCAGCAAAGCTAGTTGGCTGGGCTGAAGCTGGGCTGTGTGAGGCTGTTGCTAGGGTGAGGGGTGGATGCTAGGGGGTGGTGGGTGGGGCAGCTGGAAGGAGTTTTATCCTTAAATAATGC